AAAGCATTGAAAACTGTTTTGCAATATCTCTCACCGTTTTCGAATAATAAATTTTTAAAATTACCCCTGCAAATTCAATTTTTGACACAAAAACTTAAATATCGGCGAAGCCCTTGGAGCAAAGGGTCAACTATGTATCGTTGTACTCCTAATTCGACGTAGAATCCGAAAATGTAGAAAAAATAGGGGGTCCCTATTTAAAATAACAAAGTTGATGGCTACTTCCGGTATTTTCCGGAAGTGGTGCCATTTTGAAAATATTTTAGTTCAATTCATCATGTGCCAAAACCCTTAAAGGACTTAACAGTTTAGCTTAATTTTCAAAGGTTTTCCATATCTTTCTAACTGACGCTCGTCAAGAATGACCCTGTATATCAAGGTAGAGAAGTACAGTATTATTGCCTGAGCACCAAGATTACATCTCGAGGCGCTTGCGCCGAGGGGTGTAAGGTGCGAAGGCAATAATAGACTTCTCTACCGTGGTATATATACTATTTTTTTGACTACTAGCACTTGAAGTCCTCTAAATTAACATAATATATTGATATGAAAGTGAACGGTTGGACAGAAATTTTTGTTTATTAATATAACACATGTCAATCAAGTGTGTGGAAGTACAAGTCAAACAAGCCGTATTTTGTTCTGTCATTGAGATATTTTCAAAGAGTAATTTCGTTCGAATTTTTTCAAAATGTGATAATTTTAGGGATGTAATTTTTCTGGAAATGGCGGATTGTGGCAATTATTCATTTTAGAGAACTTGGCCAAACGTTTATTGAGCGAAATTTCGGGTTGTGTTTTCTAAAAGTGACAGCGTGACAGTTCTCATTATTGACTACTAGTTAATAATGTCCATATTATTAACCACTTTGAACAAATGCCGAGAAAGCCTACTTTACAAGTGGAAAAAAGGTTAATAATCATGTCATCAGACGCTAGTAGTGAAAAAAAGTATAAAAAGTACTGGTATTTACCTTTGTTTCACTCCATGAGAAAGAAAGAGAAGGTCTTTCATGTTTCAGTTAAACCTATTTTATAGGTATGCAATTGCATTTGCTTCCATGGAAATCAATTCTCCCATAAATCTCTATTTTTTACTTTTCAACAAAATCAAAATTTCACTAATGGAAACGTGTGTAACTTCTAATTTTGATTCGAAATTCGAAATTTTTTTTGTCGTTGATATGGATTTCGAAATGGTAGCGAAAGGTAGATGTCCGATTTACAAAATTCTACGAAATTCGCAACATCGTACGTCCAATGATGAAATTAACTGAGGAAGGTCTAAGCGGATGCGGAAGTGTAATCTCTTTTTTTGCCGAGTACTGGGTATGGTCTTAGATTACCTCTTTAGAGTATTTTTGGGTTTTTGATGGCACAATATGATGATAATTGTTGAAATAGGAAATATTCACCCACTATTTATTAATATAATATTCATTTTCTCGCTGTAACTCCACCGGTTCGTCTTTGTTCCTAAAATGGGTGCCCGACATTTTTGCATGGATTTAAGTTAATAAATTTCATTGTTATATAATCCCATATGGCGAACTAACTTGCTTTTTGTATAGTACAAAGTCCACCTAATCCAAAAAAATATGTATCCTAATTTCCTTATTACGTTAGCGCTAGGCTCTTTTACTTTTACAATCCTGGATTTCCCAGGATACCTAAAATGATTTCATACTAGTTCCTATTACCTACGCCTCATAAAGATTTACTAAAATTCTGGAATGATCAACTTTATAATGTATACACTATACTGTACACTTTTATATCTAATACTTAATACACAAAATTCCGTAACCATAGCGAATTCAAATTGCAACCCTACAAAAATTCAAAGAATTAAACCCTATTAAAGGCACCCGTTACATATGTGTATAATGGACATTCATATAGAAGTATTTCAGTATCCAGTACTCATATAAGGTAGGTAGGTATCTTCTTAACAACAATTGTTTTTAGTGTTACAAGTTGTGAACGCAGATTTTCCAAGATTAAATTAAGTGTAAACTGTCTAAGACCTACAAGGGGTATGCTTTTGGTTAACCAACTTGGCAACTTTGTCTATTGAGCTAATGTTAGTTAAAGAATGGTAAAGTGCTGAACTTTGATACTGTTCGAAAGATTTACATTCTTTTTTAATTCAGGATGTGATGAGGAATTCAAAATATTCACCAGCTCTTGAATTATAAGGATGACAGATTTTGATCGCGCCAACGAGTCAAGCTACGTCACTAGGTACGTAGATGCACGGATGTGCTGTAATTAAAGCATATGTTGGGGTAAGCTAATCTATAACCCCTACATACAGGGTGACAATTTGAAAACTTACCACCCCCCATATCGTTGTAATTAAACGAGATATTTAAAAAAATCAAAATCTGTTTCGGTAATTCGGAGGGAGAATCACAATGACATAGTTGGCGACGCACCCCCTCCAACCCCCTGCGCCCCAGCCACCCCAACTTTTAAATCTTAAATAGTGACCCCCCATGTGTGATACGTCCTTGGAAAGCTCTGAAAAAATGCTTTCCAACCATACCAAATAGCATTACATTTAGGTTAGTAATTATCGTGCAAATCAAAAAATTAACTAATATGATACATTTGAAATCTGTCGCATTTATAACGCAACCGGCGAACATAGACGAACTAAGACAGAGAATAATTCAAGAATCTCGAAATATTGCAAAATCAACATTTGAAAAGGTTTAACAAGAGTTTGAGAATAGATTATAACTGGCGATCAAAAATGAGTTGCTGTCGAGTCGGCTTTGGAAGTTCAAGTTAAATACGATTTTCCATGTAACAAAAATTTCAAAGGGCGACTCGACAGCAACTCATTTTTGATCGCATAGTAATACTGTCTTACCAATAACGGAAAACATTTTGAACATTTATTGAAATAAAGGCCAACTTTAGAAAATGTATCATATTAGTTGATTTTTTAATTTGCACGATATTTACTAACCTAAATGTAATGCTATTTGGTATGGTTGGAAAGCATTTTTTCAGAGCTTTCCAACGACGTACCACACATGGAGGGTTACTATTTAAGATTTAAAAGTTGGGGTGGCTAGGGCGCAGGGGGTGTGAGGAGGTGCGTCGCCAACTATGTCATTTTGATTCCCCCTCCGAATTACCGAAATGGATTTTGATTTTTTTTAATATATCGTTTATTTACTAAGATATGGGGGGTGGTAAGTTTTCAAATTGTCACCCTGTATAATAACACTGTGAAGGACGTGATTCATCCTGATTCCTGATGTAATGAATTTTTTAGAGCGGTATCAAGGCGCCATCCAGTCGTCACCAAGTCGATAAAGGATTAGTCACCGCCGATAAGGAATGAAAGGAGATGTGATTTCTCTAGAAACTGTTTGTTTGCTATATAAGCAAAAAATAAATCGTGCTTGTGTTATAAATTTGCCTCTTATAAATGTGGGTACAAGTAAGTGATAAATAATAATTAACTGTTATAAATTCATCAATAATTGATTTTGCATAACTAAATCACAATTAAATTTACGTTGCAATATAAATTCAAAACCGAAGAGTTGATAGAGTGAAAATTTATGGCAGATATGAACAATCGCAACATATTCCAAGCAGTGTTGCAACAATGGCTTTTCGTTAAATTTTATGCCACTCCTGTGCTTTATATCCAGATCGATTTTGTAATTAGTTTCTGTGAAGGTGGAAAATCACACGCACTGCAATTCATACGGACCGGTTTGAATAAAATTGACCACCATCTGAAATCCTCTTATGGAAGCCATGCTGTCTAAAATTCTACAAATCTTTTAGAACACGCTTGAGATACTTCAGATTCCATTCAATAGACACCATTGTTTTTAGCAAATGATGTGAAAGCATGTGAAAGCAATAATAATACAGACATAGAAAAATTGTTAATTACTCTTCGTCATATATCATACATTTTCAACACAGAAGAAGTCAATTAATTACTCATGATTCTTATTAAATAAATTAGCATATTACGTCCCATAACGTTTTGTGAGTAAATGTAACCAGTATTGTAAAATAATCGGATTTTTAAACAAATTATGCCACTACATTACGACTGCACGTATCTATACGGTTATTAAAAAATACATTGGTAATATAAATATACAAATATGGTTATGATACATTTAAGTACATAGAAACAACATTTAAATGTAAAAATGTCTAACAAAGAATGATCATACAGTATGTGCGAGATATGAGGGTCACCTTTTATTCATATGGGCCATATTGAATTACGAATTTGATATGAACCATAGACATAGGAATTGCATTTGAAAAACAAAAGTTGCATCGATTACCGATACCCGAACTTTCAATTTGCTATCGGATAGATTGTAATGTGGATCATTTTTTCGAATCTCACCAAATAAATGAAATATTGAGGTGAACCTCTTATCTGGGACACACACTGTGTATCGAAGTAAAGAATGGTAGAGCGACAAATTTCGCGATGTTTAAAGGCCGCTTGACATGGAGCAATACTACGCGCAAGAACTTGCAGAAAGAAATTGCAAGGTCAAATCCTTGCATGCAATAAGCATTGCATGGTATTTGACATGGTGCAATTCTATTTCAATTGCCACATGTCTGCCAACAGAAGAAACATATGGATTTGTCAACAAAAGTTGTTAACCTCAAATGAAAATTAAATTTTGATTGCTTGAAGAAACATGAAAATTACAAGAATAAATAAGATTAGTAAAAACAAGTAATGAGTGCGTCTCTCAGCATCACAGTTGCCGCCGCTGTATTTTACTAGGTTGGTGCCACAAAAACAACTAGATTTATCCCTAGAATTGCACGATTCATGCAAGAAAAATAGCACCGGTCCTATAAAAATTGCATGCAAGTCTCTTTCTTGCAGCAATTGATCAGCTGGCTTTGAACTGCGCATGCCTTTCGCAATTTTTCTTGCAACTTGCATGCAATTGCAATTTTTATTGCTCCATGTCAAGCGGGCTTAAGAAATTGAAAGTCGCATATATCCTTACAATTTCCTGAAATATGGAACGCTTTCAGCTTCAAATGTGAATTGAGGATCATGGAATCGGTGATTTTTTACTTTACCATTCCTAACAATTCGTTTGTTTGAAATCATCAGAGGACCAATTACTTACTTAAAACGTTAGGTAGTATTATCAAATATGGATTATATTGGGCCTTCTCACTAAAACCCCCCGCTTTTTACGGATGTATGAAAATAAATACGAATATATTTTGAATCAAATTGTATGTCCGTCTCTGAGGTTGGAGTGTTGTCACATTTGCGCATTTTATGCTAATCACGGGTCCTATGCTAACGAGTTATAATCAAATTAGCGTATTATAAATCGGCATTACTCTCTATAACATTTATATAACGAATATAAATAACACTTTACGGCACTTTAGTGCTCACACACCTAGTTAATTATACACAACGATAACTAAAAGCGCATTAGGATAACATAGACTTTCCTGTGGAACTGTTAATTGCGCTCGGCGCACTTCGTATAAGCAAAGAGTAACCATAATTACTCTTTGGTATAAGTCAACTTAAAACAAAACGCTAACATTACCTTTATAATATACAACATTGATTTAACAGATCACAACATTCTATTTAACTTTGGCAAATTTTACAGACTTATTCCGTGTAAATCTATCATCTCATCTCCTTGGTTGGCATCATTTATTGGTGCAATTAGAGAGCGGTTTGCAAAACTTAGAGACCATAAAACTTGCGTTCTGGAACCATATTTTCTGTGGTGGGGTCTTTTCCGTTTCAAAGTCAGTGTCCTTTCTTTAGGCTTTACACACAGAATGGTTTGTAGATGTGGTCTCTGCAATTTTGTGAAATTTACTCTAATCTACTCGAAAATGGTGCACCCCGAGAAAGAATTGCGAAAAAAAGTTGGTATTGGAGCCACTGATCCATTAGGACTAAATGTAAACTGACATGGACTAAACAACTCTTAGGTACACTAGATAGGGACAAAAAAAATTAATAAAGAATTAGTTCTTTGCAGTATGCATCGTCCCCAACTGCACCAACGTACGAGCCTTTAGTTGTAAAAATATGTAATAATTCAATTTCTCTTGCCATTTGCACTATATGCACCTAACACAAAGAGAAACATAGAGCAAGCAAACGACAGTAGCCCATCCATTAATACAAGTAGGTACAGTTAAATCTACTACTCCTCACTTCTCTTTCCGTGTTTCACTAAATCGTTAAACCACTGATCATGATGACATTACATCTGATAGCAATATTTCCATATACAATGATACCTTTTCAATCAACTGATAAACACGAATGAAAGCATTTTTTAAGCAAGTTATGAGTTGGTACTGGATCTCTTCACTTCTTACCTAGTACTATTTACATTTTAGGTAAAAGACGTTTGATGAAAGTTAAAGGCGTTAAAGTAAGTTGGTCCCATGACCAGAGACCATGTGGAGCCCGTGCTTGTGTCATTTTAGCAGTTACAAAATAAAATTAATATTATTAAAGCACCTCAAATCACAAATTTGATACAAAGTATAATATTCTTGTTCGTTCTTTCGAAATTGTCATAATTCCAAAATGGCAGCGTTGTTAATTTAGAATTAAAGTAGGTGTCTTCGTAAATTAATTGCGAAACTTAACCTCTCTATTTCGACGAAGAGATCTCATTCTTTTCGGCGTCTGCTGCTCTGGTAGACGCAGCAGGCTCGTCGCGGAATCCGCGCTTTGATGGTGGGCGAACGGGGAGACCGCCGGAAATTGATTCGCCACGAAGGGAATCCAGCTTTGTTTTTGCTTTCCTGTGGGTGTTATAGCTGAAAATAAGCAGACGGGTTAGATTGCGTAAAGAACGGAGGGTGCGGTATGCAGGTATCTAAGTGTAGAAACAGCTTTGACATGCATAGTGTCGGTATGGTACAAAAACATGTTGCCTCAAAACATTGTTGACTGCACAAGATGTGAACACTAAACAAATAGGGTACATAAAGTGAGTCGATGCGAATAAAAAAAGGGTACGAAGTCGTCATCCGTTTTATACACTCTCACTACTCAATCTTACCAGCCATAGCTTCTGTTTGGTAAGTTGAAGAAATGATAGAAACTGTTGTTGTAAGGGTAGGTAGGTGTTTACAGTTACATTAAAAAATCATGCAATTGTAACATGAAAATAGGAATGTAAAAACCATTCTACCTTGCCCCACGTAGCTTGGCAACCAAGGCAGTCATATTTCCTAAAAGAAGATTTTGTGTCAGAAATAACTGGAAAATGAACTGAAGAAATGTGCAAATGTACTGTGCAAATAAAAGTACCTCCGACGACTTAACAGAAGCCGTTTCTGGCTTCATGATCATCCTTTGAATTTAATGTACCTACTTCAATCAAAAGTATAAGAGCCCCTACCGGAAGTATTACCTACTAGACCTATTCATTACAACATTTTACCAATGGGTCGCGAAAACAACCACAGCATATACAGGATTAATACGTGCGGTGTGCATCAATGGCGTGCGGTCAGCTACACACCACCCACAAACATCTGACCGGCTAGCTAAAATAATTCAAATTTCTTATAATTTTTATGATCTCTCCTCGTACATCTCCGGCGTTTGCTATAAAACAAAATCCCAATAATGACTCGAAATTAATAATCTAGGAGAAAAATCACAAAGAAAAGACGTATTTAATTCTTGAAAAATATACAGCGCGTTCCATTGAAAAGTTTTCCAAATTTGCATTTTTTAACTACTAACTTTGCGATATTCATTTGTTTCTATATAGTCAATAAATCTATCTTTTATGTCAATTAATAAGTAGAAGCATGAAGTGAGTACTAGGTAGTTCGGTAGTTATTACAACTTACGGAACACGAAATTCAAAAGCCGGACCTGTAAATGCAACGGTCAGCGACAGACGGCTCGTTGTTAAAATCTCATACTCAATAGGTTCAGTAAGTGATCCTTTAGCAAATAGTGGTTCATATATTTCTGATCGGACAATTATTGTTTATTGTAACAAGAAACGTCTTGAAATAAAAACTTGCTTTTTTAGATAAATTCAGCAACACCGCCTTTTCCAACTTTTCTATGATCTTACCGCAGTTCACGCCGAAGGGTGCCTGTATTACTTTGACCCATCCGTTCAAAAGTTCCTTGCCCCGCGGAGGGAGTGCAGATTTCGAACGGCGCGTCCCTTACATTCAATTAATATTTCCTTGAAGTAGGAAATGAATGTCCACTATGGAAATGAACTAGGTGTAAGACTTGAAGAGGAAGTTAAATTTAGTATATCTTTAACGCTAATTTGACGTGTTCGATAATTTTTTTTTGGAAAACGAATTTATTAAAGATGAAAATTTTAGGTAGGGCAGTAGGGTATAGAATGGAATGTAATATTTGAAGGAGTCTGTCCGGTAGTTTCATGCACCGAAGAGCGATAAGCCATAAGGAATAATGGTTAATGTTGATCCCAGTCTCGTTGATTTGGAGCGATGTCCATTAATGGTTCTGTTCATTTTATTCCATCGGATTGTAGGTACAATAAAGTTCTCCTGGTTTTTCGGATACGCATCACCTTGCAGACGTCCTGGAACAACCGAGACTCGAAATTCCTGCCTTAGCCCGGATGTATTTCATGCGCAACTCCAAATCGACAAATCCATTCCCTCACAAAAACGTCGGCGACGGTAGCCGCTTTTTGATTTGACAAAACGGAGGCCTCCACCCATTTGCTGAAGTAGTCCATCACAATCACAATGTACTTGTTTCCATCAGTTTCTGTGAATGGTCCAGCTATGTCTATTGCAACTCTTTCGAAGGGACTTCCAGCATTGTATTGTTGAGGGCTTTGGGGCATCGCTGCGGAACATTGTATGCAACGCAAACAACTCCCTTGCGGTACCATTCTGCTACATCATCTTTGAGATTGATCCAGTAAAATCTCCCCGGCACTTTTTAAAAAGTTCTCTTAACCCCCAAGTGCCCACCGGCTGGTCCATAATGCATCTCTCTCAGCACCTCTTTAATTTTCTTTCTAGGAACCAAGAACTGTTTTCTTTTCTCGCAACCATCTTCGTTTTGTAGCGTTCGCTTCAGGAGGCCATCATTCTCCCTAATAATACAATAAGTTTGGAAGACAGTGTTCTACATGTGTAACCTGGTTCCATGCAGATCGCTCCCCAGCTGTTTTCCATTCCAGGAGCAATTTTAAGTCACGATCTTCTTGTGCTGTAGCTAGTTCCGTGGGTTGCCATTTTGCATCTAGCACTTGAGTCCATTGGTCGCTCAAAAGTGGCTGGCACATTGCACAATCCGAATGGAATGACAGTGAATTGTCCTAATCCAAGGGTAAAGGTCATCTTTTCATTATCTTTTCTTGAGCGAACTCCACTAACTACTAACTACAATAACCACTATCTAAACTAACGTTGTGAATATTCTTGGTACAGCAACAAGTATCTAAAGCGTCATCAATTCTTGGTAATGGATATCTGTCACGTTGTTGAGCTGACGATAATCGACACAAAATCTGGTGGAGCCGTCTTTCTTCTTCAGAAGAACTACCAAAGAAGCCCCAGGACTATTTGATTCATCAATCAATCAAATATTTTGCTTCGTCCTTTGGCCTTTTCGCAAAAAAATCTCGATACCAAAGTAACAGGTCACGGACACTTGCCATCTGTTCGCCGGTAATTTCCTCACATATTTCAGCTATCACTTTTATGATTGTTCATTTATGGATTACTAAGAATCTGTTGAACAATAAACATTACTGATTACTGATCAGGGCAGTCAACATTTCGGAAACCTTGTTGAACCACTCGTACATGTTGCATTTATAACACGATTGTCCGGTTCTTCAGTTTAAAGTCGTACGAACTAACACTAACACCAACACTAACGACGGGATGCATCGAGATAACCAGCTTTTGTCAGTCTCACTATATCCGCCTCATAATCTTGCATCTCCCCGGGTATTTGTACACGAGCTTTTAGTTGTGCCCGATGCACTAGCCGTTTATGTGCCGACCCAAACTGAACATCCATTTTCTTCCTTAGCAAACGAAAGTTTGTCATTTCGTCATTCAACAGTGGAAGGATGTTTAGTGCAGGTTCCTTTAGTGAAACCACTAACGCAAACGTTGTGTCGTCAAACTTTTGCAACTACTTTGAATTGTGACATGGGGGCATCTAAGTACAAGCATCTTTTAATTTCGTTTTCAAATTATTAGCATTTTCTTCTAACTGAATTTTTAAATTTTGTTCCATACTTTCCGAATCCTGTCCTTTTTCTGCCATATCTGTGCGGAGCCGGTCCTGTGGATGTGATTTTTAACCAGTGGCATCTAAGTAACTCAAATTTGTTGAACATCAATGAAATTCAAGCGCTAAGTTTATAGGTATATTACCTACAGTTTCTCTGAGATTGAATTACATACTCGTACGGTTAAGCAACACATGAAACCATTCGCCGCAGAACTGGGATTTTCGCGACGAAGCTTCGCAGAGGGTCGCGTTTCTGAATCATGTTTGTTGTAATGTTCCCCTGTCAGTTTTTATTAACCCGTTTCTACTGTAGAAAAATTACCTTATATAGTACCGATTCTTCGCTATAAATTCTACATCCTCATCGGACTGCAACTCTTGTGCCTTAGCAATACGAGAAGGAGGGCCCTCTAATTAACTTTTCTCCTGTTAGTATGTTGGCCTGTTTGTGTTATTATCGACTTTACCTTGTACCTTTAATTTTAAATTATTGGTAGCCGATGCTGGTTTAGAGTCCTGCCATTGTGATATTTTTTATGTATATGCAATTTATCTTATCGAGTTGTTTTGTCTAATTTGATAGTAGATGTGTTTTTGTACTAGGTTAATATCTTGTTTTCGATTTGTATTTATGATCCCTCTTGTATCTTGTTTTCATTAATTTGTTTAACTGCATTTGACTCGATACCTGATTTTTATTGTACAATTTGAGATGTTTGATCTGTTAAATTTTGTTGTTGAAGTTGATTTATTTCTGGTAGTTACATATTCCTAGTGCATTTAGCACTTGTGTGCATTCAAGGACTAGTCCTAAATCTACTACATGCTGCAATCGCTGCTTTGCTATCTGTAAATATAAAGATTTTCTTTTGGTAAAGTTCTCTTTTCATAATTAAGCAGCTGCCCTCCGTAGTTTTTGAGCGACCTGTGTAATATTTATGTGTCGATACACACGTTCAGTTCGCCGGACGATTTTGGCCAGAATGGCAAGGGCCGGTCGGATTTTGAGCAACGATATATGGGCTGCCGGCCAGGACTGACAGCCCACGGACTGCCGGCGAACTGAACGTGAGTATCGAGCTACGTATTCTTTCACTTTATGATTGACGGACTAAGTGACTAGGGGTAGTACTACAGCACTCACGGAATTCGGAACAATAATATAGGCATTTTTAGAGAGGAGGTCGGACTAGCCGCCCTTCTTGCTCATCGGTCGCCTGCTATGACCTCCAGGACGGGAGCGGGCCGATTCTGCCCCCGAATACACAGGGAGTGGAAAAGTCACAATAATAGGTAAAAGAGTAACAGTAACAAAATAGAAAATAACGCGAATTTTCATTTCATACCTACAAACGAAATTATTATAAGAAAAATGTCTCCTCAAAATTTCACAGTACTCTATTTTACAGAGTTTCTGAACCAAGTTGACCATTTTCCAGTCCATTTTTACCTTTTTACCTTTACCTACCGTGTTGAATTTTAGTTAACCTTAATTCAGTTTGATTTTGCTCTACCTCACGACGTTAATATACCTATTTGACTATTAGCGAACTAAATTTCCTTATATCTAAACTCAATCTAACTAAAAAGAAAATAGAACTGTCATGCTAGACTTACCATTGAAACACCTAATTACGGAGTAAAAAATACTCTTTCAATTAAAACATTAATACTCTATCTTGTCCAAAACTAGACAAGTAAGTTTCAATCTCTCATTACAATTAGAATTTACCTACGTTCTAGAATATGGAATATTTATTCATCATAATCTCTAACCTTTCACTTGGATAATTAGATAAATTCTTAAACGGAAACATTCTAAATGTGAAGATCGCATGGAAATATTTCAACAGAAAGCTCTTTACTAAGTGAGCGTTTTCGCCTCTGTAAAACATTATAATTATGTATAACGTACGTTTCGTACATTTAAATTCGCTGACCTGTGCCATTTTGCACACCCTATTAGAGTACAAACTCATTACATTCACGCCACTTGATTAACGACGTGAATAACTAGAACTAGTAGTACATGCAAAATAATCTACCAACTCTTTAGACGGTATCAAACACTAAATTAAGCAAGTACTTACATTCTGTTGAAGTTGATGATCGTTTCTTCTGTGCGACCGAAAAAGCTTTTGAACGAACTAAGCCAGTAGCCCCCGTATTAACCACATCCACTGACATGCTTCGATTATGCGCTCGTGCCCATAATTCACCTCGACGCTCTCTGTTCCTTTCGGCGTTTAGTCCGCTCAAGTGCTCATTAAGTGAATATAATTTATACGTTATATCTTTCCCTAAAAAGAGTGTGTCTTTATATTTCTAGAATGTACAAAGAAATCGGTGCATCCAAGAATTTATTTCAATTTCGTTTTATTACACCTTTCCTTGGGACCGCTCATAAAACAAAATTGGCTATCACATGTTAGAGATTCTCTTAGGAGTGATTGCCGATTTCTTTATTGCAAATCAATCTTGGGTGGTCTACTTTAATGACTTTCTTTTCGAGTTCGAAACAACTTTGAACATCAGTAGAGATATATAACGGCGGTGGTGGCTTCTAACCATTTTGTTTTATGGTCCCAAATTGAACTCATAAATGAGGTCTAAATGTCTTCCATGAGATTAAGATGGCACGTTTACGGTGAGCAATATTATACTTTGAAGGTCCCACTTTGGCGTAACCCACCAATTTATAGTCTGGAAAGGTCAAGTGCTCAATTTACGTACGACAGAGCGAAGAAAATGATCTAAAATGTTATACGCGAATATCAATCTCAATTTTTGTGAGAATTAGTACAGTTGGTGATGGTTTCCCGACTAAGTGAATGTAAAATATCATCTTTCGACAAAAGAAAGTTAAAACTTTATTTACTGTAGAATTTCGAACATTTTAAACGCTCGCATCCAAACCCTTTCTTGTGGAATTGGTTGGAGAAATCTGCTCGAATTCCCTTTCAAACAAATTAATATCCATTGTTCAGAACTTGCGTTATATTACAAAGGATAATGTGGTATTGCGAAAGGATACCAAAAATATAAACGTTTGCCAAATTGTGTTTGAACGTTTTATGGAGATATAAGTATAATTTGTGCTTTTGTAACGCTCGTTTTTGTATATAAATCTATTGTAAATTTATCATTTTATTTTTGAACATGATCGACGCTTATTTAAACTGTTCCAAAATAAATAATGTTTGTTTATTCTATTATAGTGACACGTGCTGTAATTTTAGAGTTTGAATATTTCACTATTTTATTAATAAAGTACGTTTTATGATTAATAAAATGACGTTGATGATATGAAAGTGTGTATTTTGGTGAAAGAACTACTAATGGTGGTGCAGTAGGCAGACTTTAACTAAATCTAAATCTTATCTATGAAGGATGTCATCCCACCTCCGGGGGCGAGGTTCCACAAATGACACATATTTCTCGCATCGTTACAGAACGACTAATTCCATTTAGTTCACGTTATGAACTGGATCCCATAACAATTACGTGGATTTTTGGTAGATCGATGCCACCGACAGTACCTCCAAAAGTCAGTTTTACCATTTCTCCAAAGAATCTTTTGAATAAAGAAAGTGATTCCTCTCAAATTTAAATTCTTTGAATACGCCATCCGTCGTGAAATTCTAAATACTAAAAGTGATAGCGTACTTAACACACAAGTCGGTTATTACCTATATTAGGTAATCGTGAGAAGAACATAGAACAAGTACAACTCTAATTATCAACAGAAAGATAGAGGTGAAACGTAAAAAAGTGGAAAATGCAAAAAAAACTTGTGATAAACGAAATTGAACGACCTATAAGTTTTAAAAGAAAGATCTCACAAAGTACCATACTGTAAAAAGCAAACAATCAGGTGGAGGAAATAACAAAATAGCAACAAGAAGTACACAACTTATAAGAAGCCAGTTCCCGAATCTGGAGTTATTCCTGCTGAACTTTTAAAACGCACTGGTACAAATCTACTCAAAATCCTTACGTACATGTTTAGATGTCCCTAGATGTCTCTTAAATGATGACGAGCTACCTGGAGATTGAAAGGCAGGATACCCAACAACAACGAAGGGATGGTCTAACTATCGCGGGACTAGCGTGTTAGCCTCCGTAGAGACACTTCACGGGCGCATTATTAGGAAAAGAATAGAACAAGAAATGAGGGAATAGCAAAGTGGATTCGACGCTCATGCACCAACAGCCTCTTGTTATTAAAACAGATTACCGCAAAACGAAGGGTAAAAACCCTATAGGATCTATAATTTTGATAGACTGCGAAAAGGCTTTTTATACCGTTCCAGGCCAAAAACTTTTTTAAATGGTTGACAACAGCACAATAATAATTATGATATACCTTCACCATCAATCTCCATCTGCTCTATTTAAAATTTTGCCAGAGCAAATCCTGAGAGAGTGTAAAAAAATGAGTCGGCCGGTAGACCTTTTCCTACGATGAGATTGTGTATATGCATATCGGCAAATTCTCTCGAATTAATTCATTTTTGTTGCACGCTGCCTGGTTTTAGTTTTTTTTTGTTTGGTCGGCCGGCAATTAACCCAGTTTTTGGGTTTTGGCATTCAAAATTGATTCACCCACCCTAAACTCAGGTACACAGTTGAGCCGGGTACATTTCTCTGGAAATATTAGCCCTCTCATGGAGTATTCGATTTAGGGATAAATGAAGCTTTATTCGCTCCCATAAATTCGTTCACGAAAGAAGCTCGAAAACTCGCTTTCAAGGGAAATTCTTCTATTGTGTAATTTTTCTTTTACATTCTCATTTAAGTCACAGAAATAGAGCTATTTCAAAATTGTGTATCTTAGCGACAGTGGAATTTCTCTTGATGCCAATTTCCCTAAGACCAGATAATTTTACCTTTTGAATGAGTTTTCTCTTCGTAGTGGAGGCAAAATCTGAGGTAGATTTTTGGCCGAAATTTTCGGATATGAATATACACGGTGAGAAAGTTATGGAGACGAATTTTTCGCGTGCGAGCATTGCGTGAGCGAACCAATTTTCAAGTGGCGAATTTGCACTGTCGACTGTTTCTGAATATCACCTGACCAAACGTATTTCCATACTGAATTGTTTGGGGACGAACATTCCGCAACAAATTCACTTGTCGGTAAGGTGAAGATGCAGTGACGGTTAATCCAAAACATCTTCAGGGGATAGTTTGATTCTAGAACTTGAAACCTAGATCCAACATGACAATAGTTTGAAGATAGCGAAGAAAAATGGGGAACGACCATTTACAGTGCGTAAATTTTAACTCTGAACATACAACTCTCCTATGCTCAATTCTTTAATATACAAGTCAAATCTTACCTACTATTTCACTCTTTTTCAAATATTTTTTAATAAACGTCGATATCTGAATTATTGATTAATTATTTTAGTAATCATTACTAACCTGATACCACTGATAACAGGCGATTTTTTTAAATATTTTTATAATAAGAGGCGTACAGGCGTACACAAATAGGGCAAAGACCAGGTGATTCAGTTAATTCAATATTAACGATGTCAAATGCTTTATACCACGGATATTGAGTAACAATTCTTTTTTTTCCCATGGAAGCGTTTTGACATTTCATTCACCAATATTTGATCTCCATTTGGATTTTGGCTAGGTTGGCGATTTCTACTTATGTAATGAGTCAATTTAAAAACGTAATTCTGTTTTATTGTACCCCAAGGGACAATGTCAAAGATTCCTGACAGTAAAACACAACTGGTACTCATTCTGCCTGAACAAGTTAAGTTCGAACTATACAAATAATTTAACATTGCCTTGCCGTTAATCGTTCTTGAAAGTTTACCCTATACTTACTTCATTTAATAAGTTCGTAAATGATATGCGTCTCTAGGCTCTACTAAAAACATTTACTCTGATGTGAACTGTCGAGCTTTGCTCATTTTAAGATTCAATTTGGGATGATCGCGAAGTTTACCAATAACTTGCCACAATTTTCGTGTATATTGCATAATGAAAGCTTTTATAGCTAGTAACTTGCCTCGTAGAGAAACGTTTACCTACCGTAAATGTAGTATAGGTACATCGATTCTAAATTTATTATTAATAGTAAGTACTACTTGGGAAAGCACCGAAACTTTATTGCACTTCGGGTACGTAATTAAACACGTTTTGTCCTCAAAACAATAGGCACTCCTTTCACCACTTATAAGCGTTTTGGATATGATCATTGAATAAAGAATGTGATCTTTATTCAATGATATGATCCTGAAAAATACTGTTGAAACACTGTCAAAGGTAAGTCTTCGAATGAACAAACTAAAAGAATGACGTGAGTTGAAAAATACAATGATTGCTTTGGTTTAAATGATTATTTTCTTGGCTATGAATGAATTTATCATTATATATTGACCTACATAAATATACATAATTTAAATTTAAAACCTATTTAGTACTAAAGTGTACGTATTTATATTCAACAGTATTAAAAATTCAAGCTCTAAACAGGCAGTCACTTGGGTCCGTGAAGTTAGCAGAACATTGGTGGTCCCAAAAAGGTTCCAGTGCTTCAGTTAGTGATCCAATAAACAATTGTTTTCTCTGTCACTTTAGTACAGTCAAATTAGACCAAAAAATGGGCATTCCATGCATCAGATATGTCATCTCTAATTTTTCTTTTAAATTGTTAGGATAAATATGGATGTGAAAAATCCAAGTTTTCGACATTGAAAGACCTGTGCGAGCGACACAGCACTTGAAAATATGTCATTTTTCTTACCATATTTTGGTTTTTGTAAGTTTTACTCCTGAAAAACCGATTTTAATGCAATTATTGTCGTATACTTTTTTGAAGTAGACAAAATTTTTGACAATTTAAGCCCTTAACGATCTCCCCAAGTCTAATAGTTTCCGAGATACGGCGCTTCAACTATTGGTAAATTTATTAGTTTTATATTGTATTAGTTTATCAAAATTTGCGTTTTTTCTTCGCAGAAAGTAAACTTATTATGCGCGATGAATTGTCGTAAGTCGTGAGTCGTAATAAACTTGTTGTTGAGGAAGTGCTAAAATTGCGGATAATGAAAGCAAATTAAATATTGATTTTTGTCTATTAGTGGAAAAATATCCATGTTTATATATGATGCGTTATTCATTCAAACCATAGTGTTGTGAGTAAGCTTTCTGCTACTGTCACAGATCTTCTATATTCGGTGTCCCTTTTGAATGGTCGAGCAAGGTCAGGAAAAGGTAAAAAATTCACAGATTTCGCAATCCATGCAACAGGTAGTGGATTTTGTTGAAGAAGAAG